CCACCAATCCTCCTACGTTTCGGCTTCTGAAGGTAAAGTTTCGAAATTAAGTCCTTGCGGCCCTTTTACACAGATACTCCGAGAGATTCATTTCCCCAACGAGGAAAGTAGATTCTGTTTGAAGACCCGCAGCTCCATATGGGCCCAAGTATTACCTCCCAAAGTTTAAGGCTTAGGGTTTCAGGCTCAGGGTTTCAGGCTCAGGGTTTCAGGCTTAGGGTTTAAGGTTTAGGGTTTAGGGTTTAGGATTTAGGGTTTCGCAGTAATCTCAGATCAAGACCCTAATAATACATTCGCATGGCTGTGAGCATTAGTTGACTCTGACTTCCAAATAACATCAGGGCCATGTTTTTTTTTTAAGGCACTTAGGCTTTAGGGATGCATCCTAAACCCTAAACCCTAAGCTCTAAACCTTATAAACCCTAAACCCTAAATCCATGGCCCGGGAGGCGAGTGACTTCCCTAGTACACCTTGCAGAGCAAAACCCGTGGAATCCTGCATTGGTACCCATAGGCTCCTTAGTAGCTCCTTTTTGGGATTCCCTTGTAGGATTCTACATATGAACCATAAAAGGGAACTACTTAGGAGCCTATGGGTAAACCTTATATAACCCCATCCCACTTTTAAGCAAATCCCCGGTGCAGCCTCCTCGGATTTCTTGCAGACGCGCTCGTAGACTTGGCTCAGGAGGCAGCCTCGGCGGTTTAGGGTTTAGGGCTTAGGTCACGCCCCTATTTGTGGTTATTCTAATACATTTGCTGCCTCTCCTTTAAGGACGAAGGGGGGTGATACATTTCTTGTAGGGATTGTAGGGCTTCTACAGTCTTTACATGGTGTTCGTGCGCATGTCAAAGCATTCATGCGCATTTCAAAGATCCATCTTTATCCAACTACCGCCGCCATGACTTTGCATTTTCTGTCACTACAACTATAGTGGTACTGTTGCCACAATGGCTAGTACCACTACTGTTCCAGGTTGGCCCAGTGTTGGCATACTTCCACCGTGATGTTGAACTAGTCCAACCTGCAGCCAAATGAGTGATGATGCTGAAGACTGCCGTCGAATCGTGGCTCAACGCACCGGAAGTCTCGCTTTAGCTTTCTACCTTCCCGGAAACCCTCTCGAAACCCTAATGAGGCCCTAATGCTAAAACATCCTGCTTGACTACAACATGAACCAACAGACTGAACCGCCGAGTTGTTATAAATGTGAACATATATATATATATGTTAAGTAATGTGTATATATATATATACATGTATTTATTTGTTCGTTTCTGTTGTCAACTTTCTACTCCACCCTGAGGCCTAGGTCGAAACTCCAACTGCTACGAAGCTGCGGGCTGAACTGCGCCGGTCGTCGGTGGCTACCGTCGGTACCTGATACGTCCAAAGTTTAAGGCTGTGGGTGGAGGGAGGGTATCTTTACTGCGACTCGAATGTCTGTTTAGCCCTAAACCCTAAAACCCAAGAGGAGACAAGGTGAAGGCCACAGCGGCATAAACGAAGTGCTGCAGTTTGCCACTATAATGTCCACTTGTCGTTCCGGTCATAGACATATCTTGCGCTTCGTCGCCGTCATAGCAGTCCGCAGCAGGAGGAGCAGGAGTAGTTGTGGCTGACTAGCAGTAGCAATAGCGACAGCACAATAGCAGTAGCAGTAATGGTAGCTGTAGTAGAAGTAGTACTAGTAGCAGTAGCAGTAGCAGTAGTAGCAGTAGTAGTAGTAGTAGTAGTAGTAGCAGCAGCAGCAGCAGCAGCTGCAGCAGCAGTAGCAGCAGCAGAGCGTGCTTGCACCATGTTCCGCAACACCCAGCAACACGACATGTCGTTTTGGTCGAGGCCAAAACGACATGCCGTTTGCCCCCCCGCCCCCGCCCCCGCAAAACAAATACAACTGCAAAGACGACAAACACAACCAGAAGGACCGGCCGTGTTGCCCCCGTAAATGAACAAAACTACCAAAACGACCAAAATTTATAGCTGTGCTGTTTTGCCCCTGCAATGTACGGGAAGTAGTAGTGTTGGTAGTAGTAGTCGTCGTCGTCGTAGCAGGAGTAGCAGTAGTAGTAGTAGTAGTAGTAGTAGTAGTAGTACGAGTACTAGTACTAGTACTAGTACTAGTACTAGTACTAGTACTGAGGTGGTGGTGGCGGTGGTGGTGGTGGTGGTCGTCGCCGTCGTCGTAGGCGTATTCGCAGGTAAGCGTTGTGCTTCTTACGTTCTTACGTATGTACATATGCTACATGCGTACAAGCACATGCTTGCGTACATGCAGCGGCGCACTTATTCAGACATGCATCCATATAATTGCAAACATACTAACATAAAATGCCCAGTCCCAACAAAATCGTTGCCAGCGAACAGCTCCACATACGAACTTCTACAGGTGCTACAGCCTACAACTTGAACCTTTAAACTGCAAACGTACAAACTATGCCCGTCAATGTCTGTAAAACTTGAGACCTATAGACCCCAAAAAAACATTGCTGCAGCTGCACCTGGCTGCCACCCTGCTGGGAACCTGGGCCGTTTGCACTCCAAGCACTGTATCCTGGCTGAGGGAGATGATGCTAACGATAATGATGGCGGTGATCATGCTGGTGGTGTTCGCAAGGGCGGTGCTGTCGTTCGGGTGATAATGCTGGTGGCGTGTTGGGCGTTCGAAACGTCCTTTGAGCGGATGGGAGATTCCGCAAACCCTGAAACAAGTCTGAAGTAGTCAGGGTTGCTCATAGGCCTACCTCTTGAAGGCTCTAGGGCTTATACTTTGAGAGGCTTTGGGCTCGGATGGAGGGCGTGTGGGCTTTGGGCTTCAGGGTTGGGGGCTCTGGGCTTAAGGGTTTGGGGCTTGGTGATTATTTAGGGGCCTAGATAATTATTCCAAATACTATTCTTATAGGGTTCCGTATCGTAATTAGAGTTATGCATTGGATGGACGCGACACTACGGAGAGCCCTCGCATGCTGCGCCATCACTTTAGATTACCTACTCGTTGCAGACATGCAAAAAAGAAGCGGACGGTGCACTTCTTGAGAGAATCGAAGAGGAACTCAGCTGCTTGAATAAATATAGACCCTGCGACATTCACGATAATGAAAGATTTTGGCGTTCTTGTCCTGCGAATATGTATATACAGCGCCGGCAACATTGCCTAAGTTGGCTTCGCTGTTGCACACTGCACCCTGAAACTTAATCCCTAAACTCTAAACCGTCACAAGCTTCAACAACACCTCAGCATATCTAGCTCACCACCTAACCCTCCATAAACGGAGCAGGCATTTGTGCCCGTTGTTGAGATTTAAGAGTAGGGACGGGGCAGAGGGTACTACCGGAGGATCTAGCAAAAGGCTGAGGGCTTTGACAAGTACACTGGGGTTTAGGGTATCGCACAGTGACCACAACGGGGTATTCTGAGCTACAAAGTATTCCAGCTGCTGAATGAGGCGCCCGAGACACATCTGAAGAAGCAGGCCACTAATCACCTAGAGCCTCTAAGGTACCAACCATACATAGCCACAGTATGTAACCCAGAAGCACTTTATTCAAGTAACTGTAGCCTCAATCGATGTGCTGCTAGTGAAAGGCCTTAGACAACGTCCAGCAAACTTCCTAAACCCTAATAAACCCGAAACCCTAAACCCTATAAACCCTAAACCCGAAGCAGAGCACATTTTCTCAATCCCGAAGAGCCCATGTACCCAAACGGTACATGCTTTTGGTCTTAAATTAGTCCCATGACAAGGCAAAACTGCGCACATTCGCAGACCTCATAAGGGTCCAAAGGACCTAATAATCATGTACTTGGGTTACGGGTAGTAGTTTTGTAGGTTAGTATTCAGAAGAGTATATGATTATTAGGTCCCTAAACCCTAAACCCTAAACCTGATTATTAGGCACTTGGACCCTTATGGAGACCTCATAAGGTCGATCATGGTGCTTCTGCGCTAACACACCCGGTCGGCGCATTTCGCGGGTTGGGTTTAGGGTTTAGGGTTTAGGGGACTTGGGGGTTGTGTGGCTGCTTGACGTTCCCTGCAGGCTTTCCGGGGAGCTGACTCTTCTTTAAGGCTTGGGATTTAGGGTTCAGGGTGCAGGGTTTAGGGTTTTGGGTTCAGGGTTTTCGGGTTCAGGGTTGAGGGTTCTAGGGTTTTAGGGCTTTAGGGGTTGAGGGGTTTCGGGTTTTAGGGTTCAGGGCCTCGGCCTTTCCAGAGACTGCTGAACCCTATGGCGGGTCTCAGCTGAGACCCGGGTCAGGCATGGCTCTCAACCCAACGGCTCCCTATCATGTACCCAAATAGGTGCCTTTAAGTTATTAGGGTTTAGGGTTTTGGGTTTAGGGTACCATAAGGGTTCTATAGCGTCTGGGGGGTCTGAGTGTCCATGTACCGGAAGTGTACAAACTTAGGCCTTAGAAGGGCTTCCTGTATAGGCACGTTCGGGCCTAAGGCAGGTACAGAGAGCCGTGGGGCAGTCACTGACACAGGCACTTCAAACACAATTGTCAGGAGAGGTTAGCCTGAACCGTGAGACGAGAACTGAAATAAAAAATTAGTCGAACCGACTGCTGAGCAGATCGGACCACAGACGGTAATCATCCTGCCAGAACATCTTGTAGTCCAGGAAGAGGTGGCAAGTCAACATGAGGAGGAAGACGAAGAGGAAAGCAGGATGACTTGTCAGCACGTAGCTCTCGAGCGCTGCAATCGTGACCGAGGAGGTCATGAAGATCAAGCTGAGCGTGAGGATTCCACATACAAACATCACCGCATTCAGCAAGCACTTGTTCGTTATCCGATCGGAAAGCCACTTGAAGAGTCCCAAAATGCAGGGGTGGATGGCAGGGTACAGCACCGTGAGCAAGAGAACGAATTGGATGTAGTTCAGCAGGAAATACCTGAACTCACAGAAACTAATTACCTATTTCAAGAAACTATATACACTAACTACTATACACGGGCAATATATAACCGAACCCTAAACCCCAAACTCTAAAGCCCTAAACCCTAAAGCCCTAAAGCCCTAAACCCTAAAACCCTAAAATCTTAAAGCCCTAAACCCCTAAAGCCCTAAACCCTAAATCCTATTCCCAAAACCCTATAAAACCTGAACTCTAAGCCCTACCCATAGGCTCCTTAGTAGTTCCTTTTTGGGATTACCTTATAGGATTCGAAATATGAACCGAACTACTTAGGAGCCTATGGGTATGGCATTCCCAAAACCCTATAAACCCTAAAGCCCTAAACCCCTGGTAAACCCTACTAGATCCCTTTAAAGGAACCCTACTAGATCCCTTTAAAAGGAACCCTACTAGATCCCTTTAAAGGAACCCTACTAGATCCCTTTAAACGGATAAGCCCTATGAGCCAGGCTCGAGGGGCTGCTCCACAGAGGCATAACCCAGTTCTTCCCAGACCGGGCGCCCCGTCCACGTGATTGCAGTCAGACCTTACTTGTCTGAGTCTTTCCCTTGCCTTTAAAACTTTAGGGTTTAGGGTTTAGGCTTTAAGTCTTTCCCTTGGCTTTAGGGCTTTTTTTTTGAGTTCAGTGTTGAAGGGTTCCAGGTTCAGTTTTGCAGGATTGGGGTTTAGGGTTTGAGATCAGGGTTGTCTACGAGGCCCTCGTGCACAGAGCAAGACCCTTCCCTCATCGAAGCTGCAGTTCATTCGTCCAAGCGGCAGAGGACTGTGGGCACCCAGGTCAGGACACAAATGCCCCATGGCAAGTGAGTCTCAGTACCCAGGTCTGCTATGACACCGTCGCGAGCAGGAATCCGAACGTAGTCCTGGATGGCATCAGGGTGGGCAAGAACTAGGTGCCAAGCGGCTTAATGTCGGAATCTGGGGTGTGCTGTCGGAATCTGGGGTGTGCAATGATCAGCGCCAGAACAGCTCATGCCCTCACCCAGAAAGTTAACCTAAAACCGCTGAATAAGTCCTGGACCTTCAAGCCCAAAGCCTTGACACCTGAACTCACAAAATCACAGCCCGAACCTCCTGTCTCTGAACCTCAACCCTACCCAAAGTCTCCATCATAGTTCCTTCTGTTTGCCACCTTTAGGATCAGGACCGTCTTAAAAAAAAACGAGGTAAGCAAGAAAGGAACTACCATCGACCATAGCTAGGCACGCCTTCCGTCATGGACAGGACACCATCATCAGCTACATGTGTATACATATATATATATATGTACACATATTCATAGATAGAGGTATATATGTGCATACACACACACGTATATCCAGTGATACATACATACATACATACATACATAAAGACATACAGGCAGACAGACAGACAGACAGACAGAAAGACAGACAAAGAGACAGACAGACGGACAGACAGGCAGGCAGGCAGGCAGACAGACAGCTAGACATACGCCCACACATAGATAGATGCATGCTTACACATACACCTACACCTACACCAACACATAGACATGTACATACACTTATACGTATACATGTACATAGACATATACACATACAAATACTACATACATAAAAGAAATACAAAACAAAGGTCTGTATAAGTGCCTTGACCAATATCCGCTCTTCTGGATATACAGTGCATAGACATAAAGATGGACTGATTGATAGATCGATCGATAGCTGAACAGCTATGCAGCTGGATAGGTAGACGGAAAGATAGACAGACAGATAGATATATAGATAGATAGATGCCTAAGCCGATATGGAAGTAGGTCGCACAGGTTAGGCAGGAACCTAATCTACATCTGCTCTTGCCAGGAAGTCCTAAGAACTCTCAACCCAGCATTCATCAAGGATACGCGTTAGCCTTCATAAGCTTCATGAGTCAAAATGTACCCATAGGCTCCTTAGTAGTTCCTTTTTGGGATTACCTTATAGGGTCTAACTATGAGCCATAAAAAGGAACTACTTAGGAGCCTATGGGCAGTGGGGTCTCTAATCTAATTCAGTACCATGTGCGGAGCCGAGCTTGCGGTTTCCCAGTCAAGCATGCCTGCAACCAGGACCTTGTAGCAACCCCTATAGAACTCTTATACAAACCCTAAACCCTAAACCCTAAACCCTAGAAACCCTTTCAACCCTTGTAGAACCGATAAGAAACCTCGAACCTCTCCCATAGAAACCTTCTTGCAGCGTGTTTCCGTGGGTCTAGAGGCTAGCCCTGCTAGCCCTAAGCCGTGAACACTACAACTACCACCGAAACTCCAAAAACCAGAACCCTGAAATTCGAAAGCCGGAAACCTGAAATCGCTACATCCAAAGTCTCGTTGCTTAGTCCGGGGGCCATCAGCTGAAAGCTGAAGGGCAAAGACACCCCAAAGTCTCGCGCCAAGAGACGTTAAAAGCGTCCAAGCTTGCCCCAACTTCGGGAAATCCCGTCGCTGTGCGAATGGCCAGTCCTTTTCTTCGACGATGTGGCGGGCGTACTCGTTAGTATAGGGCTTCCCAGAGAACCCAATACCCCTTAGATAAGGAATATACCTTAGATTAAAGGGGCCTTAATATTATGATTTAAGGTATCTTCCTTAATTAAGGGGTATTGGCTTCTCTGGACCATTTTGGGAGTTCAGGTTGTTATTCAGGCACCGAAGTGCGATTCAACACTCAGGATCCAGGGGCCCGATGCAGACATAGGGACATAGGGCTTAAATCAGGTTTGGAGGCAGTTACTTCGGTTTCGGTTCGGAGGACTTTGGGCCAGGGTTTATGGACAAGCCGTTTCATTCAGTTTAGGGTTTAGGAGATTAGGGGTTTGGGGGTTCAGGGTTTAGTTTAGAGTTTCCCAAAGGGTCCAAAGTACCTATATAGTAGAATGTAGGGTTTCTATACTAGGAATTGCGACTATGATTCGGGGAAGTATGCCCCACAACAGTACTTAGGACCCTTTGGGATAAGGTTTTAGGGGCTAGACTTGGCCTTCGCGAGCTGCACTTCGCTCAAGACAGTACCGCCGCAAGCTTTCCCGGAGCAGACAGAAGACAACAGTCGAGTATAGGCCCTGAATACCACTCAACCCTAAACCCTAAACCCAAAGTCCTAAACCCCAAACCCTAAACCCTAAACCCTCAACCCTGAACCCTAAACCCTAAACCCTAAACCCTGAACCCTAAACCCTAAACCCTACACTACCACACCTTTGGAGACTCCCAAGCAATGCCCAGCATCGGGAAGTCAAGGACAACCGCCTCTGCTCCTGGAGAGCATCGGTAGGTGTGGGGCTTACCCATAGGCTCCTTAGTAGTTCCTTTTTGGGATTACCTTATAGGATTCTAAATATGAACCAGAAAAAGGAACTACTTAGGAGCCTATGGGTAAGGCTGGCCTAAACCCCCAAAATTGCCACAAGTAGGTAACACAACACCTTTAAAAGGCCAATCTTCTACATACGTTTGGGGTCCAGGGTCCAGGTAGGGTTTAGATCTTGAGGGCTTCAGATTCTCGATTAAGCTAGGGTCGTCCAACCTGAAACCTAAACCAAGAACCCAAACTCGCCTAAGCCCTGAAACCCAAAAAACCCGAAGCCCGAATCCAATGAACCCCAAGTACTTACGGCTGTTTGGGTTTGGGGAACAGTGAGGTTTTGTTTTCGGTACTTCTCGTAGAGGGCGGCTACTTGCATCAAGGATCCTCTATGTCGAGGGTCGGTCGACATCAAGGTGTCCATCTTCTTCAGGGGCGAAGTTGTGCAAGACAGCTCAATAAGCTAGATCAGGGTTTCGGGGTACATGATAACACTATGATAATTAAGAAGGAACCCACAAGTGCCAGTATCAACCCTAAATCCTAAAACCCTAAACCCTATCTTACTTGGAGCAATTTTGGTTTCGATGTCCTCAGGATCCTGCTCCGTCTCTGCAGGGACCCTGATGGTGGACTCTTCCGTGCCGTCGAAAAGACCGGCAACTTGCATCCTTGCTGAGGGGCATTGAAGATCTACCTAACGAAACCGTATGTGTATGTATTTCAACAAATAAATACATATGTCTATATATATAATATGAAAGAGGATTGTAGAAGAGTTCTGTTATGTCTTGATTCGAATCAGGTTCTCCGAAAAGCGGTACCACAACTCACGGCCAATCCGGATCTAGGTAGGGATTTAATAGCTCAGAACTTCTATGTATGGTAACAAGCACCAGCACTTGCATCTATATTCCATGCACACGTGGGGTAGGATATCAGGTGGCTTCCAAACCCTAAGCGGGAAGAAACGTTCTGGATGTCACAGTCAGTACAAGATGCATGGGCTGCGGAATCCCGATGTTGACTCAATCCGTTAGGGCTTCGGAATTAATTCTGAACGGCTTGGGGTGTAGGGTTTAGGGTTTAGGGGTACAGATTGAACAATGCTTCGTCTTGTCGTTCTCATGCTGCAGGTCTTGCAGGCCTAATGCACCTCTTCGACCCTTTGAGGTTGTAGGCTCTCTTGGGCACCGGTCTCGCATATCGAATGCCTCTTGTGTTTGTGATGTTGCCTGTAGAGCCCGAAAACCCCAAATGCCAAACCCCGTCTTAAACCTCAAAACCCTGCGTATAGTCTCCATTGTAATTGCTTTGTGGGTTAACCGAATATATATATATATATATGTATGTATATGTATATGTATATGTATATGTATATGTACATAAGGATCTTAACAAAAGAGCTGGCCAACCCAACAAGGCCCTGCAATGGATGGCAAACCGAAAACGGATCCACATGGCGCAGGCAAGCATCTCGATCACGTGGCGATCTTTCTCTTCGGAACACTTGGCATTTCTGATGTCGAAGTTGGCCATTTGGGTTAGCATCCTGCATATCGGGCGCTTGCAAGTGGTGCGATGCAAGGGTTCAGGATTCAGCGTGTGAGATCTACAGTTCAGGGCCAGCGAGGGTCGTTGCTGCTGCTTTCTGCTCATGAAATCCTCCCAGCACCGAAGGCAGAAGAAGCAACAGATCGTGCAGTGCCCAGCAAGACGAAGGGACGAAACGAGTGGCCTGTCCGAAATCCCGAAAAGGACGCTCACACAGCGATTCTCAAACAACTCAAAGGCCCTAAACCCGTGGTGCCCCAATTTAGTTTAGGGTTTAGGGTACAAAGGGTTTAGGGTACTAAGTGCCCTATGCCCTAAACCCTAAACCCCTAAACCCCAAACCCCTGAACCCTAAACCCCTAAACCCTAACCCCTAAACCCTAAAATCGTGCAATCCAAGCAGCGTCTCGTGGCCCGAGAGTTTCGTTTCAAATCCGAACAGGCTGACGATCAAGCCGGGTATATAAAAGACGGCGTAAGCCTCTGGGGGAAGGGTTTAGGGTTTAGGGGTTTAGGGTTTAGGGGTTTTTTGGTGAGAAACACAAATGCTTTTGGGGGTTTAGGGTTAGGGCTCGAGGGATTTAGTTTAGGATTCTCGCTTCGGGGAGCACTTTATTGAGGGTTCTACTCTTAAGGACCTACATTAAGGTCTATTCTGTCGCGAAACCCTCCTTCAAACACGGCTTAGACGTTTTAGAGCCTAGGGTGTGGAGACACTCCCCTAAACCCTAAACCCTCCACACAGTGGCACCGGGGGAGCACTATTGCCAACGAGTCTGAACTGCAAGATACCCAGCAGTAAGGCCCGACCTGCCGAAGGGTGCGGCCATGCTAGGAGTTGAAATCATGGGACTGTGAAGGAAAAACGATATCCAACTGTGGCAGCAGCGCTGCTCACCAACTATGCGAGCACCAAGCTGTTAGATTTTACAATGAAGTCGATTCTCGGGAGGACGATGCCTTTACAATAATCTATGCTATAACCTATAGTACCCCAAATTAGTCTATAATATACCCAAAACAATCTATAATGCACCCTACAAAAGCCTGTATTATACCCTATGGTACCCTATTTAATTCATAATATATCCGACAACAATCTATACTGTACCCTATGGTACCCCATAGTGCCCTCAACCCAAAGTCGAAAACATGCACTGCACCTCGGGCCATCCCTGACCAAAACCCTCCACCCCCGTGGTTTAGGGTGCTGCACACACGGCCTGGGGAAGAAACACTACCCATAGGCTCCTAAGTAGGTCCTTTTTAAGGTTCATATTTAGAACCCTATAAGGTAATCCCCAAAAAGAACAACAAAGGAGCCTATGGGTAGTCACGAAGGAAGAGTTCAACGTAGCTGAATGCCTCTTCCGTCTACTCTACTAAATATATTTGTATCATCCTCTATGGGTCTATGGGGCTCAGAAGTTATATAGAGTCTTTGTGTTTGTCTGTGTGTACTCGGTGCGGATTTACTCTCTGTCTAGATGCCATAGATCCGAAGGTCTTGAATCAAGCACTGTGCTTAAATGGCAGGCATGACATGGGATGTGGATCCTGGACTGATAAGCCCCTACCTGAATAGGGAATTTGCTGGGGGATCCCTATATGAAGGCATCGTTGCAGGTGCACTTATGCCGTGTAAAATGCAAAGCCTAAGCCCTGAACCCCAAACCCAAAGGAACCGAGGTTCAGGTACCAGCACCACCAAGCATTGTGATGCAGTGAGTGCTGCAAGAGAGGCCTTGACTGCGAGCCTGCGAAGAGGGCTTTGGGGCTTAGGGCCTAGGGTTGAACTTGGGAACTTAGCAAAAGGGTTTAGGGTTTAGGGTTTAGGGTTTGAGCTGCTTCTTCGGAAGTGTAATAACCAAGGATTACTTCCGTTTAGGGGCCTCAGGAGTTTAGGGTTCAGGGTAGCTGACCAGGGCTTCCGATAGGGATCTTAGTAGTAAGACTAGCTACACTCGATTATAAACCCTAAACCCCGAAACCCTGCACTCTAGAATCTAGAACCCCTAAACCCCATAAGCCCTAAAACCCCAAAGACCCAAAGCATTGGCATGGAGGGTGTATCGGATATTCGGGTCTGGGGCTTGGGGTTGGGGATTGGGGATTGGGTCGGGGTTGAGGGTCTCAAGTTTGAGGTTGAGCCAGGGTTCAGGAGTCAGCGCGGTTTAGGGTTGAGGGTTTAGGGCTTTAGGGTTTTAGGGTTTAGGGGTTTAGGTTGAGGGTTTGGGGTTTAGAATTCAGATTTGATGCGTTAGGATGTAGGTTGCATTGCTCGTTCAGGCTCTACTTTCCTGAGGTGCAAAGCTCAAACAAGAGAGTAGGGCTCACAGCATAGACCCTAACCCTAAACCCTAAACCCAAGACCCTAAACCCCTAAACCGCAAACCCTTAGACCCTAAACCCTAAGCAGGGCTGCTTTCCTAAAGCTTGTGGGGCAGGCGTTAGCAAGATCCTGATTGCAAAGATCCCCTTGGCAGGACCTCTCTACCTCCAAGAAGAAAGCCGTTATGAGCCCTTGCAAAATCAGAACCCCGTAACAGTTTCGGACTGAGTCGGGTGTAATAAGCTGTTATGCACTTCATAGAGCCAAAAAATCAGTTTTTAGAAGGCTGTCTCAAGGCCAGTGGCTTAAAAGTTCGGTTGGGCTTTTGGGTAGGGCTTAGGTGCTGACCCGCTGCCTGAAGTTCAGGAAAAAGCACATCGCCAAGTGTTTCGCCCACGGATCCTTGGGGGGAGATTCCTAAACGAAGTTAAACCCGAACGCATCTTATCTCTAAACCTAAGCTCTTATAAACACCCATAATTATAGAACCCTGTATAAGACTCGGCATCCTTGAATAAAGCCCGAAGGCTGACAAAACCGTGCACAATTCTAAGCCCTCTCAACATTGGCAGTCCACGCGCGGATTCATAGCAGTCGTGCTTGTGATATCTAGGCGTGAAGGTACAGGGCTTACATTTCCCAGGGTTTGCAAATTAGAAAGCTGCAGCTTGCTTTGGTGCTACCTTCCCCAAAATTCATTTGCGGCTAACATCCCCTCCTAAATCTTTTCGTACATGCTCTTGTAGTTCCGAAATAACTATGGTTGAAAGGACGGAACTAAAAAGGCCCAGGACGGAACTAAAAAGGCCCCAATACCAAAAATCGTTCTAGCTCGCAAAAACTGCCAATGGAGACTGTCTTTCCTGTAAAAAAAAACCCAACGCATGGAGGGTTCAGAGGTGGAAGCTTGAAGGCTTCCGAGGTTCGAGGTTGGGGGGGGGTTAGGGATTTGGATTTAGGACTTAGGACTTGGGGGTTTTGGGTTTAGGATTTAGGATTTGGGCATGAGGCAGCACTGCGAATTCCGTAATTGAAAGCTCCAGATAGAGCGAAGAATCGTTCTGCTCAAGCATTCAGAAACATGTGTGGCGGTCCCTGCACAAAAACGGTCTTGCACAAATTACTGCTACTACGGCTACTACGACTACTACGACGACTGCTACTGCTACTACTACCACTGCTACTCCTGCTGCTGCTGCTGCTGCTACTACTACTACTACTACTACCACCCTGTTGCTGCTACTGCTACTGCTGCTGCTGCAGCAACAACAACAACAACTACTACTACTACTACTACTACTGCTAGTACCACCACCACCACTACTCCCACTACTACGACAACGACTATTGCAATCATGTTGGTCAACACAGTACTGTACCAATTTGCTAGCAGTGAGGCACCGAAATCGCGCGGAACTATGGTGACTAGTTCAATACCTTTTTGTGTATGGGGGACACAGGCAGCAACACTTCAAGATCGATGATGTGCCATGATGGTGGTTTGCACAGCAGTTGAAATTATCCTGATGACTAGTTCGATCCCTTCTTGGGTATGCAGGACACAGGCAGCACGTCTTGAACTTCGATGATTCGCCGTGATGGTAATGTGTGCAGCAGTCTTGACATCTTCAACTTGAGAGCAATGATGACTAGTCGAATGCCTTCTTGTGTATCAGCCAGCAACATCTGAAGATCCATGATTTTCTGTGATGGTCGTTTGTATTTCTTATTTGCACAGAGGCGATGCCGATCATGACAGTACAGGGACTGCAAGCTGCTGAAAGCTTAAAGCAAGCTAAGGGTCCTAAACTGCAAAACATCTCCGCCAAACAGCACAGTAGCAATCCTACATCCCAAACCTTTCCAGAGATGGTGCTGTGGAATCTAAACCCCTAAAGCCCGAAACCCCTGACCCTCCGCTGCCTGAACCCTAGCCGCTTTTGCTCTGAAACCTTATATGCCGTAAACGCTGAATCTCAACGACAAGCGTTGCAACTTGGGAACCCAGGTGGCTGAAACCTCCCGCGATGCCGCCCGAGACGCCGCGACGGCGAAGGCGGCGGCGCCTCACATGGCGTCGGGGACCCAGAGTTTCCGCCGAGAGCCTCGTAGCTGCCGTGGGATCATTCGGGAAAATGGCTACGGCTCAAGGGCTTCGAGTTCAAGAGCACATCAGATCAGATCGATCTCGCGGCTCACGGCCTTGTGACAGTCACAAGGGGTTCCGGTGAAATTCGGACTAATTTCCTGTGCCCTCTTTCTGGTGTGCGCCAGTGGCAGTATCCCCCACCCAGTGTAGCAATGTGGACTTGCGGCTAACGAAGCTAAGCAGAACCTGATTGGGCAACAACGCGACTCACCACCCCGTCCTCGCGCCAATGATCGTGCTCCACAACGTGGTGTCCGTGGAGATGACTCTGTCATTGGTACACCAATTCGTGAGATCAACATGGAGGAGTACGTGATTCTGATGCCTTGGTTCGGGCTGTTCAACGTCTTCGCGATGCTCAGCGCCATGCTTTGCATCAAGCCCTCGTGTCGAAAGTACACATCGCTGATGGTCGTGGTGCATGTCTTGGGTTTAACATCATGTCGTTGGAGGCCTACAGTGCGCGTTGGGAACGAAGCATCGAGTTCTTGATCTGGCCATTTTGGGCCTCACCTTCTCTGTCACCAATTTGCTGCTGTTCACTGGCCGCTTGTGCGCCGGAGGCTCGTGGAAGCAGATGGTTTATGTGCGTCCTCATCAGATCAATATGCAGTTCCTGACCGTAGTCGCCGTGGTTGGTACATGGATTACAGTCTTTATGAACCTCTGCTTTCTGTGGGAACTCAGGCTGATCACCAAGATGTCGGTGCAGTTGGGCGGTTCTTTCGCCTTTCTGTATGCCGCGGGATTCGTAGACGTGTGGACCACACAAATGCGCAAAGCTTGCCGTGACATTGCGAGCTGCTTTGCGCGTAGGGACAAGATATCTGAGACGTTCGCAACCGCTGCCGATCTAAGCCCTCAAGCCAAGGAAATTTCAAGACGAAGCGACGAGTGGCTCAGTTGCCGATGCGCTTCTTTGCATTTGTTTGGAGCTTTTGAGAGCCCTTCCGCAGCTGTTCCAATTCCAGTTCCGCTTGTTGTGACTTGTGTACCTGACTGACTGCGTCAGTCTGCTACATGAGAAAGACATCAGCGCAATGTCCTGGTGAAGGTACTTTCAATTCCAGATATTCGTCAGCCAGATTGTTCCAGAGATTTCCAGAGATGGCAGGATGCGATACAGTACCAGAACTATTTCCAGCCACTATTACTATTGCAGAATGCATTCCAGGTCAGTTTGAGTAGTCTTAGTCGTGGTTCGTTCTCGGGCTTGCTCGGCTGCCAACGCGCGCGAGTGTATGCCCTTGCAGTCACACGCCTCGGCGCCTCAGCGCGGGTTCAATAAAAAAGGGGGTCCCTGCTCCCTTTGTTGAAATGCATCGGCTCGCAATTGTGGGGAGGGGGGGGGAGGGAGGCAAAGGGCTGAAATGCCAGCCAGAAGCAGTACAATGACTACGGCCTGAACCCGGAGCATTCGACCTTGAACCCTACACCCTTAACTTTGCAGAGGGCTTTGTTCTTTGATGAAGCAAACCCTCAGGTCCCGAAGCCCCGAGTTGCGAGAGCGTGAACGTAGAGCTTCCAGGCCCGATCCGAACGATCGTCGACCAGTGGGTTTCGAGTCTGCGCTGGCCTAAGACAGGATTTCCGAGCCTTTCTAGACTCAGGTTTTAAGTTTTTCTCACTTTTGGAAGGTTTACCTCAACATGGATTCGCTTTCCGGTAGCTCTCGGTCGGAAAACGCTGCCGCAACGGTCTTGCATTTTCTGCAAGATATCGCCAGTCTTGAAAGTCCCTGCTATATCCATCCATCAACCTAAGGCTGAGCTTGTTTTTGGTTTTAAACCAAAGCCTTGGGTTTTTAGGGGTTCCGTTAAGGTACTCTAGAGTCAGGGTACGAGGCTCAGGGGATGCGTGGTTCACCAAATTGGTGTCCCTGCTTGGATCCCGAAAAGAGTGCAGCACTCTTGTCATGAGGACCGCAAGGGTTGATCCTACTTTACAGAGACACTCACAGGGAGAACGGGTTATGCAAGGATGTCAGGAAACGTGTGCGGCTGCTTAGGAGCATTGGTGAGTCTGCGTTTGGACTTATTTTTGGTGCGTGCTAATCACGAAGCCGTACAGCATGTGAGGATGATTGCGGGGCGAGCTCCAGGGGTGTAAGGCTAGGGCCCTAACCCTGACAAGAGTGATCATGCCTGCTGTCACGCATGCTCGAAGCCTGCTGATCTGCTTGTTGATCTTCGTGGTAATTCGATCACTAGTTGTCCTTCTCATTGAGCGACTACCCACTGGCAAAGCCTTGACTGCCGCCTCAACCTAAACCCTTCACCCGCTAAACCAAACCTGTTGCCCAAGCTTGAGCCGAAAATCGAAGCTGCTGTGATTGTAGCCCGCTCAGAGCGGTTATCTTTCTTCCGCATCTTCTGGCGGTCGCGGATTGAAGCCTGGACATCCGATGTCCTAGATATCTGGACTCCAATAGACCCTAATTTTCACAGCGTGCCTTCCTAGGTGAATCTCAGACGGACCTTGCCTGGCATAGGCCTAGTCCGAGAGTGAACGTCAACAAGGAACGTTTAAAACCTGAAAGTACCCTCGATCGGATCGAGACCATGCCCCTAGGATTCTGAATTTTCCTGTTGTAAGTGTTTACAGGTTTGCAGATCCGCACTGCCAGCAACTGTTACGAAGACTACACCGGCCATTACTGCTTGTTCTATGTCTGCTCTTCTCCGGTATGCGAGCTCATGAATGAATCTGGTCATGCTTTTCTGATTTTTCGGGTTGTACGTTACTTCAATGGTCGGTACATGTGAATCCCACAGGGTGGTGACCGAAAGTATGCTTCCGGTAGCAAGCCATAGACGAAAAGCGTTCTTCCGAGCAGCCATTGCGCTGAGCCCCTGCTCAGGGCGAAAGTGGTGGCAGGCGGGCTCCCGACAGCGACAGCGAGCTATGTTTTGGCAGGGTGGCATATAGGGTTTGGGGTTAGCCGCTTGTACGTGTGTGTTTGTGCTTGTGCGGTTAGCGGGTCCTCTGCTCGGCTTTATGCAAGGGGCACGCAATGTGCTCAGGGTTTGTTTCGGTGCTCGTGCCTTCGCCATTTACTCATGTTGGCCAGCTTTTCTTACTGTTGTTGGTGGTGGTGCTGCTGCTGCTGTTGGTGTTGTGCGCCAACAAAGGACCTTAGCGAATTCGAAATCCGGAGCAAGTAGGATTTTGGCAGAACACATTCTGCGAGACAGTCCTGAAGCTCCAAACACTTTGATAAAACGCTGCTCTATTGTGTACCAAGCTGCACAAAAAAAACATAAACCACTTGCTCCCCAAGCCTTGAACGCCAGAGCCCAACCCGCGATGCCTGCTGTCGTCCGACTTTACGGGATTCGCGGTCAGCTACCTGATGATTGTCTTTTCGTAAGGTTCTTCTCGGCTTCGGGTGGGCAGTCTTGGTACTGTCTTCGGTTCGATCGCGAACAAGCGCGCCCAAATCCCGAACTGCACGCCGGGTCGGGATCGGGCCCAGGACGTGGCATCCGGATCCTCTGAACCCCCAGATGAAGCCTCCGGTCAAGCTATGGCTGCCGGGCGTCCGAGTCTGGAGGGTTTCATCTCGGATACAGTTATATAGGCAGCTATGATAGATAGGTTATTGTATGTGTGATTTGCAGTACACGTGCTCCTTGGTTGTTTGCTACGTCTCATGCCAACCTTGTCTCACCTTCGCTCCTCGGTCCCATCGAGCACGGGTCTTCTCCTGGGTGCCACGCAGCCCCAGTCAAGAAGGCATTGGATGCCTACTCTCAGACGAGTAGCCTGCCGGCAGACGATGTCTACCGGAGAGCTCGATTGTTTGTCGATGATCGTCCGACGGATGAGCGAACCGATCCTGGCAGACTCCCTGAGCCGAAATTCTTTCATCCGCTGGGCAGGGGTCCACTATTTCATCAAGGCGAGCATGCGATTCGAACATTTCGGCCGTCCATGCTCCACCTGCAACATCCGCTGTAACATCGACGTTTGGTCAATCTGCAGGTGCGGTTAGCACCCAGGCCGCTGCTCCAGTGAGCAGTGCGATCGTGGAGCAACCTTTGAAAGGTTGTTCGCTCCTGAACCTCGTCCGACCCCGACATTCCCATGTCAGATTTCTTACGACTCCCGAACCTCTCGATGATGCGATGCTTGGCCGAGCCGGCTTTGGCCAAGGAGCTGGTCCCATTCCAGTCGCAGAAAGCGGTGGTCACGACGGCCGCGGAGCTTACGGTGGAGGATTCCGAGTGGTGGAATCGGCCCTGGACGAGCGCCTGGCGGAGGTGGACCGCCAAATGCATGGTGGTCGCCCACCTCCCCCAGATGGCGGTCTTGACCCACCAACGCCCCGGCCAGTGGAAGACCTGATAGCTTTCAGTGCGAGCGATGCCTGAACCGTTTTCCGTTGCACAACCGACGCATGTGTTTTGCGTTCAACGTCGCCTGCTGCAGTGAATGCTGTCGTGATCCGATGCGTATCTGCAGCGTATGCCTTGAACGTGCAACCGGGGCTCCATCCACACCAAACGATCAAGCTGGTGGGGCACCACGAGGCGACGGATCGCTCGGTGACGCCAAGAAAGTGAAGTGCAAGTCGTTCCGGCTTGAGCCTGAACCCGAGCCTGTTCAGCTCAGAAGATGGTCCAGCATACGCCCCTTGCTGGGTTGAGATTCAAGATGGTACTCGGTATGAGGACTTGACCGCGGAATGCAAAAATGGAATGCTCGAGAATGAGTGCACTTCTGCATTCCGCGAGTGTATCAAGTCCATTGCCTGGAAGAACAAGATGCAGACCGAGACCGAGCGCTTGCACACAATTAGCAGAAGACTCGGGAGTAGGCAGATACTGTGGCTGCTGTACGATGTCTTCAGGCCACACGTCACCAGTCAACATTCAAGATTATCGATCTTGTGAAGGTCAGTCTCGATCGATTCAGGTATACGGTGTCGAACAGGAGAGGCTCGAGGCATTCTGCGATAAATGGGTTCATGTCCTTGCAGGCATCTCTGTCAATTGACCGACCTGAGGACCAAATGCTCTGTGCCCACTTATATGCGCAGGTTCGCGAGCTGCGATGTCTTGAGCTCGATATGCAGCTCTGGGATCGAGACACATCTGTCCGGAACTATGCATATGAATCTACGGAACATCTGCGCCAAGGCGACTACTGTGTGGCGCCGAAGACGCAGCCAGGAGAAAATGTATTCCGCGACGCGATCAACTTCGGGTCGACATCATCATGCCGCTCCTGCGCATGGGAGCCCGCACCGCACAGGATCCGGCCCCTCAGTCCTGGCCGACGCAATTCTAGACGAAGCAGCCAGTACCGGAAGTCGTCGCCAAGGCGCGGCTCTCTGCGTAGGTCGTCGCCCAGACTCGGCTCACCGAGACGTGGATCTCGGAGCCGTGGCAGGGCCGCCCCAGCGCCCACGTGCCGCTCTCCTTCGAGATCATTTCGCGGAAGTCAGATATGCCTTGACTGGCAAGTTCTCGCACAATCTCAAACCCGTTTGAAAGGGAGAAGCTCCTCGCCAAAGGGGTTCCCACCAGGTTATATTTCGAAATCGGAGAACAGTGGACGGGTGACATTATCGCTGACCTCGAGGATTTCAAGCGAGACGCTTCCCGTGCAAGCGTGCATCAAGTCAAGAAGATCTACATGCTCGCCCAAGGAGCAATGGACCTTTCCTATGCGCGAGATATGCGATAAGCGCTCACGATCCATATGCGTTGATGATCCGTCAATGAACAAGGTTAGTGCTCGCGCGAAGATTCCCTGTTCTACGAGCCTGGGATCGCTGACGATGGAAACACCTTTCCATTCGATGCGGGCCGTACTTTGTCAGAGGAAGACATCCAGCGAAGGTGAGGTCCCGGCTCTTTAGCTGAAGAGCCGCCTCCTCCACCTCCGCGAGCCCATTTGAGCCTGCGCGTGCCGATGGACCTGTGCTCGACGTAACGATCCCCACATGCTGACAAGCTATAAAGCTCCCCACAGTTCTCAGAATGAAGACGGCCATCGAAGATCCCAATCTGGGGAAAACCACTATTGGTGGTTTGACTCAGGCGGCTAACGATAACACTCTGCTGCCCATCATCAGCAAGTCTGCCGCTCATACCCTGATTAAACTCAATGCAGATCTTCGCATTCGCAGCCCGATAGACATGGAGAACGCAGGGTTGGAGCCGATGGTCACGGCTACCCCTTCACGGCCTGGGAGAATTCAGCCTACGAGAAAGGTTCAGGGACCCTGCTCCCTCGCCCGATACATCGAGTGCAGGCACTGAAGCGATGAATCCTGAGTATGGAACTGCTGTCCGTACCGCATCTCAGCAGCCCAAGAAAGCTCAGCGGATGGAGCCATGGCGTCCCCAACTCGGGGGCAGACCCATCTGGGCGGCTGACGCTGCTGATGGACGCGGGGCCAGTAGGTCTCCTGGAGGACCAGCACCGGATCGATTCACCGGATCAGTGATGACTCAGCTCTGATACTGAGCATCCCAACGATAACTTACGGATCGTCACTGCCCATCCGAGATCTTCCCGACCGATGAATCTCTCTGGGCGCCTTGCACCTCCTGCGAACTTGACAGACGATCGCTCGTCAGTTCGTGAAAGCCCCGCAGCAACAGGAAAGGGAAAATTGGGAAAATCAAGGGCAAGCCCAAAGGAGAAAAGGGCAAAGGCGATAAAGGTGGATTCGATAAAGGAAAAGGCAAGGGAAAAAATGTGCAAGGCGATCGAACACGTAGTCCCCCATTTCGGCGCAACGATCAACGGCTCCGAAGGCAGAGCGTAACCGATCGAGTTAGCGATGACGCATGGTGTTTTTTCTAGTGACTAGTGGATCCGGTTGAGCCTCCACGCGCATTGTTGACTCGACCTAGAGTCTAGAGTTAATGTTCGTGCCGGCTCTGATGGTGAAGCGGCGGTCAGACACCATTTCCATCGCTTTCCCAGCAGTGCCTTCTCCTGTGCGAAGTTGAGAAGACCATGCTATTTTCCTTGTGTGATTATCTCCTTTCGCTGACACTCGATGCTGCCGAGCTGCTACTCTGAGCGTGTCGATCAATAGCGCAAATCCTGATCAACGATTACACATCTGTCCGGTGCATCCCGGTACAGTGCATCGCTACAGTTCTGAAATCGCATAGGCTGCAAATGTACAGTGTGAAACATAGGCCTGATCAAGCACCGAGAATCGACCCATGTCTAAAGGGCTCTTTGCTTCAAGCTTTGAAAGCTGCCGGAAGAGGCATGGCATTCGATTATGATCAGAGTTGTGTGACACGATTAAACCCCGCATCTCTCACGCGTGAGCTCGCGTCGAGGGGGGTGTGATTTGTCACCGACTTGTGTGCACGTACACCTTGGTTGCTTGCTACGTCTCATGCCCGCTTTGTCTCACTCGCAGCTTGACTGCTCAAGACGTGCCTCATGCAACGTCCAGCAAAAGGCCGCTAGTGCGTAGGGTCGCCCTAGCTTTGTGTCTTAGCAGTGCAGTTAAGCTAACAGTGCTATATTCCGAGTGGACCTCAAGCCTGTCTGTTTGCCTGGTCCGTTTTGGTCTGGTCTGTCTGTCTCTGTTTCTGTCTCTCTCTCTCTCTCTCTCTCTCTCTCTCTCTCTCTGTCTGTCTCTCCCTCTCTCTCCCTCTCTCTCTAAAATGCATCTGTCTCGCACTACTAAGCCAGTGTATGAACAATCATGAAGTAAATGTGTGTAAATACACAAACGCACAAGCAAACAAGCAACGACACACACAGAGACATACACATACATATGTATATGTATATGTATATATATACATATACATATATACATATACATACATACATATATCTCTATATATATATATTGATTGAAAAATACTGATGCAGATGTTTGCAAACGCATGTGTGCATGCGTGTACACATATGTGCACGCATAGGTGCATGCTTACTCGAATTTCAAAGGTTAGGGGATTTAGGCTGAAGGTTTTGGTTTCAGGGTTTTGGGTTTAATAGCTGAGAGACAAAGTTTGGGTTCAAAAAATGGGTCTAGCGTTTGGGGGTCAGGATTTTGGGGTTGCGGTTCAAAGGGTTTTGGGTTTTGAGGGTGTGGAGCCGTGGGTGGCTGTGGGTTTGAAGGGTTTAGGGTGTTGGCTTTGGGGTTTTCGTGCGATGATCACACTTCGAGAGCCATGTGTTTTGCATATAAAGTCCTTTGTCAAGACCATGTCAGCAGAGCTGCACCAGCAAAGCAACCTGTACCTAATACAACATGTGCAAAACCCTCAACCAGCCAAGTCAACGAGACCAAGCCGTTACAACAGATTCAGTAAATCCCCATAAACCTCTGTTATCCTGACCAGACTGTTTATAAGACCGAAGCCCTCGACCAGCAGCAAGGCCAGAGCCAACCGTCCAGGAGCAGTACATGCCATTGCCCTCGGAGAAGTTCTCTTGAGCCTTTCGTTAAGGTCCCCGCATGAAGGGTTTCGGATATGGTGTCTAGGGTCTAGGGTTTGGTTAAGGAGGGTAGGCTTTGTCAGGCATTGGCATGTAGGTTTCAGGTTAGGTTTAGAGTTTGGGAGATCTTCACATTAAGAGGTATGGTGGGAACACCGACGGGAAAATCCCAATAGGCCTCCTTTGCACTGGCGTGAAGAGGGATCACAGTGGAGAGCTGAAGGCCCACAAAAGTCCTGGGCCTGACGTGCTAAGCCCTGAAAGCTGAAAACCTACATCTAATACCCGAAATCGTGAAGCGCCCAGGCAAGTCCGAGTGTGAGTGTTGAAACATTAGGCCCAAAACCCTGGAGAAAGAGCCCCGAGCCGAACTCCTTGCGCAGCAAGGCCGGATGCCCCTCCAGAGGCTCAGAGGCCCCCGCCTCCGCCAGCGGAGGAGAGGCGGAGGAGCTTGGCCCTCGAGAAAGTCTGCGGTACTTGCGGTCTTAATTGGTGCGATTCAGTAATTATCGCCATTGATGTGGCCATCGTTGCTAGTAGCCTTGCAAGTGCAATTTCGCCACGGGTGAGTTCACAAATGCCCAGCTGTTTAGTGGACCCCTACCCACTGTTTGCCAATACCTTTTATGATATGAGCCCTTTTTGCTCCCCAGACCCCCCCGTCGTGTAGAGTGGTACATAACTGAAGTACACGGGTGCAGTAGTAGTACACTAGTAAAATCGTCCGATGGTACACTAGTACAGTAGTATAGTGGTAGGACAGCAGTAGTACAGCAGTGGCGGTGGCGGCGGCTGCATTGGGTATGGTACAGTAGTGCAGCGGTACAATAGTACGATGGTAGAAGGTAGTCCACTAAGCAGCAGTACAGCAGTAGTACCGTGACGGCAGTTATTGCTGCAAAACAGGCTGCAAACCCCCTTAAAATCCAGCCGGGGTCCATCAAATCCTTATGGAATACTCTAGATGCATGCCTGAGCCCTTCTTGTTGTCTTCTACGCTGTTGAGATTTATCATTGGCACAAAAGAAAACAGGAGCACATGACGGCCGGGGCAGCAACATGTAACAAGAACAAGCTTACTACAAAGGTAAAGAGGGTCGCCAAATCAATCACAGTGCCTCGCTACCTTAAGCCCTGAACCCTGAGAGTACTGCCATTTTGGTTCAAGCCATTTTGGCTGCTGTGTCCTCGGCATAGCTCGCGAATCTCCGCATAAAACCTTTAGGGGCACCCTAGAGTCCCCTCCTCGTCCTGAGTCAAACCATGCTGTCAGGGTTTGCGGGGGCGATTGGTGCACGTAAGGAAGACGGGGATGTAGAGAGAGTTGTGTCTCAGAAGACCGCTGAGATTGGGGATGATCTTTTTCTGCATCAAGGCGGACAGATCACAATCCGTCCTCTCCCCGTAGCATCGAAGCGGCTAATGCTGCTGTTTGCCTCTGCTTGTGGAGGGCTTCTTAAGGTTGAGGAAGTTGGAGATAGGGTTATCCTTGACTGGGATGCGGGGCGTGAGATGGCCGTCGATCGTAGTGCACCAAGAACAGCTGCAGAAGCCGATTTGCCCCTTGAAGGGCCCCCCTTCGGAGGCGCCCCAGTCCGGACGCGATTCTTGAATACGACTTCATTAAAGAAGATGGGGTGGATGAGCTTGAGTTTGCAGCAGATGAAGGGCAACCCCTGACCCCGCGCTCGGAGGTTCTTTCACCGGGTTTCGGGACAGCACTCAAGACAGACCGGGGTCAGATCTTGCCCCGCCGCCTTTTGCTGGCCGTACATCGGAAGCGGGGCAATCGGGTCTTTTGACTGGCTAGGGTAGCTCGGGGGCTGGTTCTCCTGGGGATAAGGGTCCCCCAACAAGCCGGCGCCTCTTCCTCTCATTCAAAGAATTCGATGCACTCGCCTGATCCAAGGGGTGAAGGAGATTCAAAAAATCCTCAGAAATCTGGAATGCCTCCGACTGGCTTTGAGGAGACCCATCCTCCTAGACGCTACCCCTGTGAAGATGAAAAGACCCCGATGGCACCAGCATGGCTATCGGGTCTGCGCGGGGATATACAACAGTTAGTGCATCAGCAAGACGCCTTCCTTGTTGAAGTTTTTATATGCACTCAGACTGCTCAACAACATGCTGCTGCCAACACTACCTTGACAACCAGGTCGGAGGCACATGGGAAGCTTCATGCTGATCATGAGGCTCGCATAGCAAAGCTGGAACCAGAGCTTGCAGACTATCGAAGCAGGGCACTTTCCCCCTTCACTCCCAGAGGACGGATACTCCCCGGAGCCTTGGTGGGTTGTATCTACCACAGCATCCTCTATAGGAGGACGCCCTATTGATGACTTCCAGATTGTGCTTGGGGGGCTTTCGTAATGCCAAAAGATGTGATCTGCAGGCTGAGATTAGGACCTTTTTCAAGCACCAAGGCGCCCCTGGAGTACTGCAAAAAGTTTATGCCCCTTACTTGCGTAGCAACATTGCACGTTTGACGTTGAACTATCCGGGGCATATGAACACAGGCGCACGTAGGAGGGCTCAAACGCAGGTGATTGATGATTGAAACTCTTAAGAAAGCCTACGCTACAAGCTCCATTCCGGGACAAGAGGGCGCTGTTATATGGACCCAACGCAACAGACCCCGCAGAAGATTCGGTCTATTCTTAAGGCTAAGGACCTAATGGAGGGTTTTGGTGATTCAGCACGGGTCGAATGCGAGTGGCGTGGTTGTGTCGTCGTGTCTACGTAGATGGTCAAAATGTCCTCGTTCATGCACAAACCAGGCCGCTTCCTGAAAACTGGCATCATCTTTCGGATGCTCCTGGTCAGCACAACGGCTGGTACATCGACACTAGTCTTGTGATAGCCAAGACCCTTTTGCTCGCCCCAAGTATCGTCGCACCTTGTGCGGGCGCTGGTCGCTCGATTGCAGCAAATTAGATGCATGCGTGCAAGAATTAAATGCAAACAAATCAGACGTGAGTGTGCTGGAGCACCTCAGAGAGGCTTCAGTGGTGAAGCCGCCGTCATGCAGGTACAGAGATCCGCCGGAGGTTCTAAAATTGATCTCGAGAAGAAAGGAGGCTGTTGATCTTCCTGAAAGGGATCGGTTGGTCAAGCAAACTCGTGAGGCGAGAGCCGAAGCTGAGGTTGAACACAAGACCCAGCTTCTTGAGGCGGCGCAGAAGGGGGATAGGCGAGCCATTGGTTTTCTTTGACGCAGCTCCGCGTCGCCCGCCGCAGATGCGGGTTTTCTGCAAGGGGCAGGATGGGCCGAAGCTGCACGAGAAGGGGTTAGAGACCTCTATCTAGCCAAGTACTCTAAAGAGGATGACACTCCTACTCAGCCCCTCATAGACTATCTCGAAGCACTATCCCGGAGCTGAAACTCCATCTTAGTAAACTCGATCCCCGTGCATGTACTGGGGAGGATGGAGTTCCCCAAAGTCTTCTCATCGCGATCCTTGGTTGTGATCTCGGGGGGGCCTTTTATGCCTTATTTAACAGAGTCCTTGAGAAAGGGAAGTTACAGCTGAATGGAGAACTGGGAGAATATGTGTTATTCCAGCAATCAAACTCCCTAGCAAAGCCTCAGATCTTCGCCTTATTTGTTTGACTACTACCACTGTAAAGTTGTTTGGTAGGGTGCTGATGCATACAATGCGAAGGCTTCTGCCTGCATGTAATTCACTGCAGCTTGGTTGCCAACCTGGCCGGCAAGCCATGGACGGGATCAATGTCACTAGAGCCGCAATTAGTGCAAGTGCAAGATACGCTCAACCCCTCGAATTCGCTAATTTGGATATACGAGCTATGCTTGCCTACCTGTTGCAAGCTGCCCCAAACCGGGACTCCGCTCCGATAATGAAGTAATTGTAGAAGTGGGGGGGCCCGCATTGGGCACAGCGCTTGGAAAGGGGATCCTCCAAGGAACCTCTTGTAGTGCCGAGTTGTTCTTCAGAATCATTGCATGGGCATTTGATTCTGTCATTGAGAACCTTGATGAGGCTCGCCCTAAGATACTCCAGCGAGCATTTTTCCTTCCTCTACTGCTTTATGCGGATGACATTGCTGCTGGGTCGAGACAGTGCTAACCTTCAGCACCGACTTCGATTGGTTCAGAGCACGCTGCAAACAATTGACTTACACCTAAACCTGGGGAAGTGCTCGGTTCTCAGCGGTCCCGATGCCGAATCGTATGGTATTTGGGGACTTCGTTCCTTTTCCTCCCTTTCTTGCTCTGATGTCCTGGTGTTCCTGGGCATTCCTCTGGGTTTTGGTGTAACGAGAGAAGATGCTCTGTTCCACCGTTTTCATAAGGCCCCGGCTAGCCTTTATTCCACTTCATGCATTTAAGCGGAGAGCATGCGTCGCTTGCCACGAAAGTCGGGATTTTTCAAACCTATGTCAGTGGTAGATGGCTGTGGGCTTGCCTTTCGGTGTTCCACATTGTTAAGCTGTTGAAGTCTGTCGACACGATGTGCAACACGTTGCTGCTCAGTCTTCGTCCTGTTCCTGCAGGTGGGCTGCTCGATTGGGTGTATACGGGGGTTTCTTCGACGAGCAATTAAGCTGCTGTGTCATAAACTTCCCTACATGCCCCAATGGGGCAAGTCTTGGCTTCACAGGTTCTGGAGGTTTTGGGGACATACAGCCAGGGCCCGTCCAGGTAGCCCTTTGCGACTGCATGTTGACAATCTTCATTGGTTCCGCATCCGGAGGGGTTGGACAAGGGCCGGGATCGTCGTTGATACGAATGCACGAAAACTCCAGAAGGCCATGAAAGAAAGTCCCTCCGCATAGACATTCAAGTTGACAAGCAGCAGCCCAAGTTAGGTTTCTCTGGAATCAGCTTGAGACTTACTGTGTTTCTTATTGGCTGGGACCCTTTGCCAGTTTCTCTTCCCTCCGAATACCTGCTTGGTAAACAACTTGTTGTGATCCACCATCTCTGGGCCTCGCTCCGCCCTGCTCGCTTCTTTCCGCTGGAGGAGCCGTAGGACCTTCAAATGCTACACATACAGCCGATCTATAAGACCTTTTGGAAGCGTAGTGGATCTTTTGTTTTGTTGGTGCAGCATGAAGATGAAGGCTGTGCGACTTTGAGATTTGAGATTGGAGAGAACGGGCTCAAACGAGAGGAACTCTCGCTCCTCCAACTTACTCAACACAGGCAAAGGATAATCATGCCCTGCAAGTGCTTGTTCTCCTTGCTAAATCTGTGTGCCGTTTGCTGGATAAAGGTAAGATTTCGCTAGCTGTCATTGTCCAACCTTCATCCGTAGAATTGCACTTCTTGCAGAATGCTCGCATCTTGACCCTATCCTGTTGTCTGCTTGCTGCGCTTGCACGAGCTTTGGACCTTAGCGAACCACCCACCTGCTGTAGCAAAGTGCTGCCTCAGATAAGTGGTCCCCAGTGCCAAGAGGGCCACAATTTGAATCGCTTGCATCCAATTCAGTTGAATTCCCAGCGTATCGGCCATGGTTGACGTTTGCAACGTCAGGT